ATGCTCTAATATGATGCTAGGAGAACACAGAAAAGCTACTAAATCAGGCTGGAGGTTCAAAACAGCTTGGTTTTTTTTATTGTGTTAACCTAACAAATACATAGAATAGATATCCCCTAAGAACACTGCACACCAGAATGGTCACTTCAAAGAATAAGGTGTTACAATGTAGAAAGATGTGTAGTTTTAAGCACAAAGAATGGTTGCCTAGTGATGGGAAGAATAACAAGATATAAATGCAAAGGACGCTGCCTGCTGTGTTATTACTGCTGTAGCTTTGCTCCCACTCAAATGCTCACTTCCTGGAGGCCCAAAGAAAGGGAAGCTGAATTATGGTTTCTGCCTGGGGACTGGCTAGATCAGTGGTAATCAAAGCCAACTTCTCCCACTGGCTTTCCACCAACTGTGGGCTGATGGCCCACAGACATAGGATGCAGGGGTCTCGCTGCACGACTGCCCCATTGTTGCGTATTCCTCCCATGCCATTCATCAATCTACTCCTGCAAGACATGTGGAGGTTATAGCATAACTATGAGGTTAGGGATGGTAATTGTTCTATGTTGATATTAGTGTGGCTGGTGCTAATGCAAAAATAATTACTACTCTGTGTCTTTATGGCCATTTTCATTTGCCCTCTGGTGGTTATGTAGTTATTTGGCTATCGATGGTAATGACATAATGCATGGCAACTAATATTGCCTCAGCTATACAACTGGGGGGAGTCAAAAAGGAGGAGGTGTTTGGGAGAGGCTGGGACTTGATACATAATTTATTTTTCTTGAGACTTTTTTTTTTTTTTTTTGTCTTTGCAAAGACTTTTCTTTGGCTGTAAGAATATGAAGTCCTAAGAATACCACTGATCTGGTGATCAAAAACCTCAAGGTCTTAATGCACATGTCAGCTCTTTTGGTGATCATGTGCTAAAGTCTGAAAAATAAGTAAGGAGCGGTCATGGTCTCTCTGAATGCCTCTTATCACTCAGTTTCCTGAGTTGTAAGCCTTGCAGTTTGTCTAGATTCTTCTCTCTTTCATATTCTCCTGTATAGTCTCCTCATTGGCAACAGAATAAAAGAAAAACTTCTTTCTGAGATGCTTCAAGATCTAATTTCTGCCCAGTCTTCTAACTTCACCTCCTTTCCCATTCCCTTGTCATTCCCAATGACTCACTGTTCTTCCCCAGCTACATCATGCCCTTTCCTCATATGCTGCTTTTACTCTCTGGAATGGCCTCATCCTTCAGATCTCAGATACTTCATCTGAGAGCCATCCCTGACCCTCTCAGGCAAACAAGATCGTATCACTCCTGCGCACTGGGTATTTTACCTAAAGCACAGAAATAACCACACTGTATTCTAATGGTGTGTTGGTTCACCTGTTTCCCCATAAGGCCACAAACTTCTAGAGGTTCATGAGGTTCTTCTCTCCTTAATTTCCAGCGCCCAGCAAAGTGTCAGGCACATAGCAATTATTTAATATGTGCTGGAATAAGTGAACAAAATGGGTTTCCTTCTCATGTGCTAGGTTCTTCTGGATTAAAATGACAGATAAATCAATTTTACTTTACAAGGATCATACGAGATGTTTTCATCAGCATACAGTTGCAGTCACATAATCACTTCTTTTAGAAGGCCAGTTTCCCTTTCTTCATGGTCCTCACATATGCTGTTCCCTCTGCTTAGAACACTCTTACTTCCTCTCCATTTAATTCCAGTTTAAATGTATTCCTTAAAGAACCTCTGATTGAGCACCTTTCTAATTGCTATCAGACTAGGCTATGCCCTCTGTTATAAATTCCCATGGCATCTGTGTGTTGTTTTCCATTTTATTAACACAAATTATAATTAGAAAATGTTTGTTTAATTATTTAATAACTGTCTTATCTACAAAATATTAAACTCCTTGAATGCAGGGGCTATATTTGTCCTATTCACCACTATGTTCCCGGGCCTGGCATATTGCCTTGCCTATAGAGAGTATACAATAAATATTCCAAATAAGGAACTGAAAAAGCCCCTAAGGCAAGACATACTTCTGATATCTACTTAGATGCACACATTAAAAGGTTACATAACTACATCTGTTTTCAGAGATAAGCTGAAGTGCATGTTTTCTTACAGAAGATTTCAAGGAACACATGGAAACTTCATCAATATGGACTAAAGGGAATAGGGGAGAAGAAAATTTCCTTTAAATATGTAGTAAATTTCAACTTCAGGCTTATTCTTCCATATCAGTTTAATTCAGCATCTACTGAGCACCTACTATGTGCTAGGCACTGTCCTAGCCTCAACACAGGGTCTACGAACATGAACACAACAAGGCACCTGACTTAAAGCCCTTTAAGAAATGTCTTTCTGTAGATTTAATAAATTCATGCTCACTCTAAGCACAAACTGTTTCTTTAAATCATGTGGTCGTCTCTGCCCTTTTCTGTGTAGAATGCTCTTCCCTGCCTGGACCATTTAGTTAATTATAATTCTTCTCTCCTACATCAAAACCTTTTAATAAGAGCACACCCTCGTTCCCTCCTTCATCCCCTCCTCTCTTTCCCCAGAAGCCTACCCTCATGGCTCCTTCTCTGTGCTGTTCTCCTGTTCTCCCAGGCCTCCTTCCCATAACACTGTCCACAGTGTCATACTTACTCCTTTACTCCTATTCGGTGTGGTCTTCAGGACAGGGACCATCATTTTATTCTATCTCAGCACAGTGACTGAGACACAGGAGATGCTCAATGATTTTTGTTACTGTTACAGTGAATGAGTAAATGAATAAAACTAGTGTTTTTGGGGCGCCTGGGTGGCGCAGTCGGTTAAGCGTCCGACTTCGGCCAGGTCACGATCTCGTGGTCCGTGAGTTCGAGCCCCGCGTCGGGCTCTGGGCTGATGGCTCGGAGCCTGGAGCCTGTTTCCGATTCTGTGTCTCCCTCTCTCTCTGCCCCTCCCCCGTTCATGCTCTGTCTCTCTCTGTCCCAAAAATAAATAAACGTTGAAAAAAAAAATTTTAGAAAAAAAAAACTAGTGTTTTTAATTAGATATCCTGCAAGACTATTTTTAGTGGATTGTTTACAATTAGGAATACTCACTCTACAGAGATCTAGATCTCCGAAGTTCCTCAGTCTTTTTCCTTCAGTCAGGTAAGCTAAGCATCCCCTAATATATTTGAGATTCTAGAAGATTTAGCCACATGAAGTTACCATTGTTGTGCATCAAAAATGATTGAGGAAGTGCCTAGGTGGCTCAGTCGATTAAGAATCAGACTTCAGCTCAGGTCACGATCTCGTGGTTCGTGAATTCGAGCCCTGCGTTGGGCTCTGTGCTGATAGCTGCTTCGGATTCTGTCTCCCTCTTTCTCTGCCCCTCCCCTGCTCATCCTCTCTCTCTCTGTCTCTGTCTCTGTCTCAAAAATAAACATTAAAAAAAAAAAAAACAAACAACTGAGTATCAGCACTTCACATGTGTCAACTTAATACTTAGAAAATCCACTTGCTAATGATGGTGTCAAGGTGAACATCAAAGTGTCTATATTTAAATGTTCCGGATTCCAAATGAAAGAACTGTTTTCCTTATCTCGGCCTAGGTCTCCCTGGCTTATGCCTTCCAAGCTATTCAGAAGGGTCTGCTAAGCCCACTGCTTCTTGTAAGAAGAAGACTGTAGTCTCCCTTTCTAAGATCGTAAATACTCAGAATACTGTGTAGAAATCATGTTTTTAGGATCACTTATGAAAGGTTAGCATTTTATAGCCAATTACTAAAAGCCCAGCACAAAGTAAATGTACCCCAAATCAAGCAGATGTACAACAAAAGCCCAAGAAAAAGTACATGGACATTCTTGGAATGAATACTAAGCAACACAGTAGACACGACTTATATCACGAAGAAAATCACCAGTTGGTGGGGATGGAGGAGCTTGGGGGATGGTGGTTTGGTGAAGCCCCTTCATTTCTGGAATAGAAGCCACACTGCTTGGCTATCTGTCCCTGGGCCTTTAGCTCCACTGTCTTGCTCCTGTCTCATGTGTCCAGCAGCCACAGGCCAGAGCTGTCCTCTGACCTGTCTAATCCACAGTCTCGTAAGACTTTATTGCTCATGCCACCCTTTACTCCACTTTCCAAGCAGATGGTGTCATTAGCTCACAGCCTCTTGCCTCATCGGTCTCTGCTGTAATTACACTGCTAAAATCTCATAACCAGTATTTCTCTACCAGGATTGCCCTAGATTTCCCTTTTTAATAGCGACTGAATTTTCTCTGGTCACTTAGAATATCATCTCAGGATGTTGACAGAGCGCTTGAGACCCAACCCCCAGCACCACCCCAACCCGTCTGATGTGGTCTATGTACCTCTCTGCTCTTTCCCAGCCCCAGATACGGGTGATTTTTGCCCCTAACAAAGATATGGACGGAGAAGGGGAAGGGAACACAGGGCCCTCTAAGTATCTTCCTTTTGCTACCAGTCAGGTTCAAACGTCATCTAACATCTACTATTGGCCAAAACGTAGCCTCCACTCGGCTCCCTCTTCACGCTCCAAATTTCCCAGGTTTACCAGGAAAGGTGGAGGAAGAGAAGACAGAAGAGCAGGGTGAAGCCCAAGACCTTGGGGATTCTTATTGGGCAAGAGTCAAAGGAGTGTTCTGGACAAACAGAAGCTGTGTATGGAAGCGTATGGTGTAGTTCAAGGCCACCACAGCTATCGAGGCCAATGTCACTTTAGCAGGAACTCTGACCTGGCTCCCAGAGAGAACTGTTCATAGTTTTCCCCTGTAGGTATTATTCCCTTCTGGACTTCCTGATCCAAGATTTGTCCTCTAGACAAATCCCTGCTCCTATCTCACAGGATTTAACCTTCAGTTTGAGTCTTTGGTCTCCTTCTAGCTACCAGGTCCCACCTCCCTCTCAATCTTCCTTTTTCCTTGTTCTGTGATACCTGCTGAATGAGGCCCACAGGGTTTGCAGTCAACACAGTACACCTTATGATCGTGAGGTAATTGGATAATATTATCACCTTCTCAGAAAGTCTTCAAAATTATCATGAGGATGTGAGGCATTCCTCCCCTGGCAGGTATCTGTGTGGTCAGATAAGATGACTGTTGCATTCCATTCCAATCATGTCATTCGGCCATTCTCCCATAGTGGGCACTTCCATGGAGACACTGAGGGATGTGACAGTCTGGAACATTCAGCTAAAATGGAATTCCAAACATAGCGCCTGCATGTGAGTTTCTCATAATCAGCCCATATATAGTCCGTCCACAGTCAAGGACTTAGTTAGGTGCCTCTCTGTTTCGTTTTTTCTTCCTCCTGCCCTTTAGGAGTTTTAAAAAAGTCAGCGGCATCTTGTAGATGGTGACAAAAGTATGTATTATCAAAGACAGATCTTATCACAACCCCATTTTGTCACAGCGTGAAACACAATCAGTATGCGTGGCTTTATGAGCTAGATTGGTTGGGTATAAATCTCAGCTCTGGCGACTTTCAGCTTTTTAAGCATGAATGTGTTATTTAACCTCTCTCTGCGCCTCAGTGTCCCCTCTCTAAAGTGAGCGTTTTAATAGGAGGCAACTCACAGGGCATTGTGAAGAGTCAACAAACAAGGTTGAGAACGGTGCCTGACAAAAGTTGACAAAAAATAAAGTATAATCTAATTAATAGTAGTAGTAAAAACAATGTTTAGTATTTTGCCTCAGAGTAGTGTGTTTTGCTGCGGGGTCTCTCCTATGTGACAACTCACCGAATCCCTTGACTATATCCCTGAACCCTCCGAGTTCTCTGGACCTCTGAAACTGGTTTAGCACAAAAAGTCCCAGACTGGAAGTCAGAAGATCTGGGAATGTTTGAGGCTTACACACATACTATTCATGAACAACCTACCACAGGCCAGTCCTCGCACTAGATTCTTCTCCTGTTCTTTTCTGTGTTCTTCACACCAGTTTCACAAGGTGGCTATCGTTGTCCCCATTTCGCAGATGACGAAATAAGTTTTGAACGGTTAACGACTGGGCCAACGTCAGGAAGGAGAAAACACGGGGGTCTGTCTGGAACCATTGCTAAAATCCCAGCACGTGCTTCTATGGAGAGTCACTCAACCTCTGTGACCTTTACTTCTCCCACCTGTAAAGCTGAATTCTCCCTGCCGTGTCCATCTCACAGGGTGAGAATCCAAAGAGAAAGCGTCTACGCCAGTCGGCTGCAGGCCTTTGAAACGTTTCCGGGGCTCGGAACCACTACCGCCAGGGAAGCGCCTGGAAAGGCGAGCTGGAAGGCGCCAACGTGGGGAGGAGACTCGGGATCCCGCCTCCCCGCGACCCCAGGGGCGGGCGCTCTGCTGAGTGGCAGGAGAGTAAGCCAATAGGGCTGCGGAGGCGGCCGGGGGCGGGGCTTCCCCAGGGCGCGCTCGGACTCGCAAGAGGGCTAGCGGGCCAGAAGCTGGAGGCAAGTTTCAGCCCAGCCCGCGGTTTGCTGAGCGCGCATCTGTGGGGCCTTATCACCTTCCTCACCGCCTGCGCTGAGAGGCCTGGCCTCGTGTGAGGAGACTAGCAGAATCTCGTTAGTGAGGACAGCAGGCAAAGTCACGAAGTGGTGCAAATGGCCTCGGCTGGCTCAAAGGCTGTGGAATCCGGGTGTCTGGGCAATCGGTGGTTGTGATAGAGAGCCAGGGATCCCCGGGCCTTCTGAATCCACTGTCATTCCTGAATGTTTCAGGGGCTGGGCCCCACGGGGAGCTACAGAAGGCAGGAGAAAGAGCAGGGACGATTTTCCTACCAGAAATACATGTGCAGTTATTCCAGAAGGAGAAATCCGAGAACAGTGGGATTTGGGGAAAGGACATCTTGGTTCTCACATTTTGATATGATCTATTCACTTTGCTTCTTCCAGCTGCCACCACCATTCTCTCACATGCTTTTTATCGCTATAATGCCGACTGGACTTCCTGATCCAAGATGTGCATCTTCCAGCAGGCCCACTGAGGTCCACAGTGACTGGTGCTAAATGGTCAGGACATTCCCCCTGCGTAAAACCTTTCTGTGATATCCCATCACCCTTCTGTGATTTCCCATTGCCCTCAGGATAAAGGCCTAACTAACGTTGGACATGGCTTTCAGGGCAGCAGAGGTTCTGGCCTCCTGCCCCAGCCCTGTCTCCAGACACTTTCCACTCCTTTCCTAGGTTAAGGGCTTGTGAAGTTAGTAAAAGAATGGGTTATTTCTAGAATTATTCAGCAGTATTGTCAGAAGAGAAGTCCTCCATAATCTGAACACTGATTGTGTTCAGTAACCACCTGAAATGGAGATATCAGCTCTGTCTGGAATCTAAGAAACCTCAAATCTAGTTCTTGCTCATTTTCTGATTTTACTGTGTAATCTGCCACATGTTTCTTTCACTCTGTGTTACTTTGCTTATAAAATAGGGAGAGTGAAATAATGTTTCCTATTCTTTTTTTTAGATTTTATTTATTTATTTATTTATTTATTTATTGAGAGCGCACATGCGTGCAAAAGAGCAGGTGAAGGGCAGTGGGAGAGAATCTTAAGCAGTCTCTGTGCTCAGTGCGGAGCCCAATGCAGAGCTCGATCCCATGACCTTGGGATCATGACCTAAGCTGAAATCAAGAGTCCGCGGCTCAATTGACTGAGGCACTCAGGCACCTCGTGTTTCTTACTCTCTTATTTTTACTTTCTCAAGGTACTTCAAAGAGAAATCTAACAATACATGGAAAAGGGCTTTATAAATTCAAATTATTAATATATGTCCTTCATAGCGAGATATACAACATTAATTACCTTGAAGATATTTTTCTGGGTCACATAGAATCTGTATTTTATATACATTGTGTATGTAACCCTAAGGTTTATCTTTATATCAGGCATGGATTAAAGCACCCCACAGATACCATTTTCTATGGCTGGATCAGAGGAGCAGGCCTGACTTACAAGCCTTGTCCACTTATGCTCACTTGTTACTGTACTTAACAGAGGGACCTAGAGAAAAGGTAAGATAGAAGATGTCAGCTAAAGAGTCCTGCCCGCATAAAATAAAGATGGCTCTGTCTTAAGAAAACTTTGAAAATTAATTCTTTTTGTACAAGATGTAATGATTGCTTTCAGAGGAATTGGAATAGCATGTAAAATATTAGAATATGGGATTATGGACTGTTGTAGGTCCTTGCTCACTCTATGTTCTTAATCACCTCATTGTCTCTGCCTTTAGTGCTCTTTCCAAATCTGGGATTCATCTCTCCTTTTCTTCCCCTAGCCTCCTAACATATACTTTTCACTTAGCTAACTATCAGAAGGTATAATAGATCATGAATGAAGAAATGAAAGGGTGATGGATGGATGGAGGGAGGGATGGATGCCTGGATGGACACCAACGGACATGAAGCCGGTTGATCTGGGTTCTTATATGGATCAATGCAATAGCCTTTTGAAGTAGACCAGCAATTATTGGTCCTATTTTACAAACGAAGAAACTGAGGCTCAGAAAGTTAAGTGGCTTGGTGTGGAATACACACTGTTAAAAAGTGACAGAACTGACTTTAATTTTTACGACATCTTTCTTCTCACAACATAGTCATTCTTGAAGGTAAGAAAGACTTAATTTCCACATTTTAGGCTGAGAACAGGCCTTCAAAAGAACACTTACATGCCTGTCTCCTTCACCACCTCCTCCTGTCCTAAGCAAGTGATTTCAGAAGCAAGCCAGTACTCACAGGCTAATTTTAAAGACAGGTCCAGAAAGTGACACCTGTTAGGAACATGGTAAGGAAGAACTAGACATAATGAGATTTCAGCCCATTTTGGCACTGACTTCTAATGGAAGATTCAGTACAGTTCTCTGCTTATGAAAGGAACCTGTTTCCATGGCAGAGGAGGAACTGAGGGAGGAAAGAGAGAAAAACAAATGGTAAAAATGTATTTTCTCAAAATCATTTCTCCAGATACACTGAATAATTCAAAGGGCAAGGGCAGTTCAGTGACAAGGAGTGTGGCAGTAGGTGAGCTCTGAGAAATAGAATAACTCTCAAGATTTCATCCAACGGACAAGATAAATGAGGAATTTGGACTTGGAAAGGTTTTATTGAGCTCATGAGCCTTCCCTATTTCACTTAGTGTGGCTCACATCTCTTCATTTAAACTCGGAAGCTAGACATCCTGGGTTTTAAACCCTGGCTCTACTACTAAACTAGCTGTGTAATCATGGGCATGATTCTTTAACCTTTCTGCCTATTTGCATCTGTAAAATGGGGATAATAATAATTAACACCTCCCCTCTGGCATATTGTAAATGCTATTGTTACTAACGTCACCACAGCTGCCTCTTGATCATTGAAGCAAGGCATTTACTTGAAGAGAGTTATTTGCAATTGCATAAAAAAATGGAGGAGGGGCATCTGGGTGGCTTAGTCGGTTAAACGTCTGATTTTGGATTTTGGCTCAGGTCATGATCTCACAGTTGTGAGATTGAGGCTCTGCCACTCCACTGCTCGCGTGCTTGCACTTTCCCTTTCTCTCTCTCTCAAAATGAAAAAAATTTTAAAAATGGAGAAAACAGTAGTGAGATTACCTGGGGCACTTTTACATGTTCTGGCCTTCCTTTCCATCTCCTATCTCCAGCCTTCTGGAAATTCAGATTCTGTGGGTATTGGGAAAACTTAGGGATGTGCATTTTGAAGAAACACATACCTAAAATGCTTTCTTTCATTTTACCCCTCTACCTAACACCCCACTGGAACCCTACCTTAAGGGATTTCCCTGGAGGATGAAAGATATTTTTACTGCGTGAGGATTACCAGGGTTATATAAACATGGGTAGCGCATGTACATGTTATTAAATCTAGCTCCCTAGCTAGATTAAAACCAACCTAAGTTAGGATTCAGACTTCTTCTGCCTTATTATGAGCTGATGAGCCCGCCTCAAACTCACAAATGATATCGTCATGATGGTACTCTTTCTGGAGAAACCAAGTCCTGGTGATGTCAAGTTTGGTCATCTAGTATTATGTGCTTATGTGCATTAGGCTGCAACCAACTTTTTGTAACTTATTGATCTATATGGACCTCCTTCCAGGTTCATGTACATAGCTCTAACTTATTCTTTTTAATACCTGCATAATATTCCATAGTATATAATTTCCATGCTTTCTTCAGCCATTTCCTGTTGCAGGAAATCCAAATTGTCTGCTACCATATTTTAACCACCAAGTATTATGCTGTAATAAACACTCTTGTGTGTTACTTGGGCATTTTTTTCTTTCCTCTTAGAATAAAATCAGAAAAGGCCATGGTTGGATCACAAAGTATGTACATTGTTAACTTTTAGATGATATCTCCAAAAAAGTTGAAACACTGCCCTTCCCATGAGCTCCTCCTTAGAATATCATGTGTACTGTGGGAAGGGGCAGCCTGACCTGGGCTACCTTCAAGTGGATGCAGTTGTGAGTATAACAAGACTATGATTCATGGTTGCTAAGGTGTTTTGGATTTTACAGATTGGCTAAAACCTCATCAGATCACATACTGCCTTCCCTTTTCTGACCATAACTGAGTCTGTGGCATGGCTGAATTTACCCCCCAAAATGGCACAGCCACAAGTATCAACCTACCTTCCATCCCTGTTCTTAGTTTTGTATGATACCTACTTGGGGGGGAGAGAGGGTGGGTGGAAGCAGGTACAAAAAAAAAAAAAAAAAAAAAAAAAAGCTCAGCGGCAGAGATGAAAGGAATTGTGCTCAACCCAGAGACCACAGGACAGAGGTCAGATGACGGGATAGAATCAATTTCCTTATTTTCATGCTCTCTCTGCTCAGAAACATTTTCAGCTTAATAGCTGCTGACTTCTATAACACTCTCCTGTAATCTACTGCAAATCCAACGGATTCTGTGTTGTCACACTTCATCAGCTGTGTTATAATTCCCAATAACTGGCACACAATTGATGTGCTATCCCTGAAAAGCCGGCCCCCAGATAAATGGCTTCCGAGGGTATAATGATAAATCAGAGGCATTGTGAATGGATTCTGAAAGTATTCTAAGTCAGTACAAATCCTCCCTGGAATCCAATTTGGCTGGTTCATTACCAGTTCTATCTCTGGTATGCAAAAAGACGATAAACAATATTGTAAAGATGTAGATGAGATCGGCTTTTGTGACCTAATGTTTCTGTTGAAGAGAGAAGTACATGTTGTTAAAATGAGAAAAACGCACACAACCCACTGGCAACAGATTATTATAAGCT